CGCGAAAGCCTCGCGGAGGCTCGAATTCCCCCTGACTGCTGCGTCCCAATGGGCTTCCGCCGAGGCTGACCAGCTGCGAACATATGGCTCCCGAATAAGTCTCCACAGCCTGCCCACCATCGACACGAGACCTATGATGCGGTCTCCATTTGATTTCTTAGGAAGGAGACGCCCAATAATCAAGAAGATCTAACCTGGCCATACAAGATGACACTCACAAGCCTGATACAACAACACCAGCTCGGCGAGCGCCTCATCTGGGAGGCGCTCGAAGTCGAGCGGACTAAGCATGTCCACCCCCATGCCAGCTCGTCCCTTCATCTTGCGAAGAGCACCTCTCGCTTCCGAAATTGAAATATCTGGCAAGGGCTCCGTGGCAGCAACAGCTTGAATTTTGGCAAAGATCCGAGAGATTTCGTCTTCGTCCAAGGCAGCTGGTGCCCACAAGCCGTGCCATGACTTAGCTTTGTGGCCAATCATATCGCGTGGGTGAAAAGAACTCTATCTTCCTGAACCATGTCCAAGCTTGGCAGAGCCTGAGGATTGAGGGCCTTGTGTAAAGTTCCAACGGCACCATCTTCACCCATGAAATCTTTGATCTCATTGACACTCTCCTGAACTGCTCTACGTTGGGCCCTCCCCATGATCCTCTTGGAGCTGGCCTCAAAGCTCGCAAGCACCGGTGGAACCACCTCGCCCGCGCCGCTCAGAACCCTCTCCCACTCAGACCAAGGGGGGTCACGCCCTTCAAGTAACACACGCTGCGCGTGCTCAGGCCGATCAGCCAGATGACGCACACAGCCTTGCACGTAGCGCTCGACTTGCAGAGCACCGTTGTCCTTCGTCTTGTGCAACGCGAGACCTGCGAGCAGCGCGTTGACCTGAGTCCACCAGCCGCTGATCTGGTCTCGCAGAGGTGTCGCACGCACCTTCTGTGGAAGCTTCACTGTGGTCACTGTGAACCTGGGCCCCGTAGCCCTCGATGGGCCTCGCGGCAAGTCCACGCCATGATGAGAAGTAATTGTGGATTCGACAGCTGACACCCAGGAGGCGTAGAGGCCTGAAATAGTCTCGAGCTCAGCGGGCTTGAGCCGAAAGGCTACGGATTGACGCAGAGCAGGAGCAAGGGGCTGCAGAGTGGCCGCCCCAGAAATGAACCCTGCGTCACGTCTACACCTAGTCCACAAATCGGTCGGGATACCGAACGACGGGACCCCATCCAGAGCTGCCCCCATCCAGCCCAGGCCCCTGGGGGCCTCCAGCCCCAGAGGAAACCAGGGTCTGCGACTGAGGATGGCCAAGAGCAGGAGCCGCAGCGCTCAAAGGCTCCACCCCAGACTGCTCAGCCACATCAGGCACGCCCCTGGAGACCTCGTGAGACCTGTTAGCGGGCCCAGGCTGGGGATCACTTAGCATATTAGCTTGCTCACTATCTACTACAGACGCTAAAGTGAGAGCGGGGAGGAGGGAGGAGTCGGGACAGAAAGACAATTCTTCAGCCCACTCATCATAATTGAAAGGATCAGTGCACTGCTCCCCTACCCCCGAGGCCGACAGGTCATTTCCCCAGCACCGCCAGCCTCAGGGATCGCAGCGGATTGCTCGTTCTGACAGCAATCCTCAAACAAGGAAGAAAACTTAGCCGCTCGCTTCTCGACTGCGAGCTGATGCTGTACCCTACGCGTAGCTTCCGCCAAGCAGGACTTAGACCCCGCGGTGGCTTCCTTACATGGTCGTGGGACCTGCGGGAGGCGCCCTGGAGTCTCCAGAATTCTCGTCAGGAGCTGGTCCCCAGACCGACGCAAGACGATCTCGAGCCCTATGCGTGGCTCCCAGGGAACCGTCATGACAGGCTTAATGTCGGCAACGAATGGCACTGCTGACTGACTGCATAAAAGGTAATCTATAACCGTGCCCGAGCCTAGATTACAGGTAACAGCCCCTTTTGCCTGCAACACCGCAGCGTGCAACCGACTAACAATGCCTGACCTCTCTAGCTGCTGCGGGGGCATATTGAAGTCGCCTACAACTATCCAAGGGAGCTGGAGAGACCATAGGAGCCCCGCCAATCTCTGAAATCTGCCGAGGTTGGCTCCACGGAGCCCGATACAACTATGTGCATAGAAGCTGATCATAATCATACTGAAGCCTGAAAAATGAACAATCGTGGCGATAAAGCCATCAAAGCTAGAAGGGTGGAGCGGCGCAGACAATCTACTCACTGCAAGCCAGGCGGCAGGGAGTCGATGCGTCTGCAGGTGCCCCTTCGACATGAACCACTCGCCGCCCTCGTTGGAATGCTCCATCAGCGCCTCCCTCTTGGTGCCGACAGCAGCCTTCGCCTTCGACGACGGTCTCGCAGGATTGGTGAACAACCGCAGGCCCTTCCCCCGAGCCTTGGCACCATATTGACGTAGAGTCTTCGCATCATGGATGTGGGACTCCACGATACTGACGAAGTCGAACGACTTGGACATAAGCCAGTTCCAACACTTCTCCCCCATGCATGTGACGTTAGCATAGAACCAGCGACTATGCTCCCCCGCCGCCTCATCGAGCGGCTCAGGCGCCCTCGGCGCGGCTCCAGCTAGTCGCGAGCTGGCGCCGCTCGTGGGAGCGGCGATGCCCTTGCCGTTGCTCTTGCCATTCAGCTTCTGCGACTCCGCCAGGAACTTGGCGTCGGACAGCCGCTTGGCCTCGTCGGTAATCTGCTTCTCCTTCAAGGCTTGGGCCTCCTTGGCCTTGGCCTCGGCAGCAGCGGCATCGGCGCCTGCAGCGGCAGCGCTGCCAGGCGAAACCCCACCCGGGGGCCCCGAGGCCGCCGCCTTGGGCTGCTGAGCGCTGTCGGCCCCCTCGCCGCCCGCCATGGCCTGGCCATCGGCCCCGCGCCTCTTCTTGAGGAGGCGCTGCTCGATGTCCTTCTTCACGGACTCCATCTGCTCCAGCCACGCCTTGACCTCCGCCTCCTTGGAGGCCACGGCACCTTGCGTGGCCTCGAGGTTCTGCTTGAGAGCCCGCGAGGCCTCGCGTTCGTGCTCCTCGCACTCCATGTTCTCGATCTGGTCGAAGAACTTGCTACCCCAGCTAATGTGGAAGATGGGCTTCCCGTTGGCGGCAGGCTCCTCGGCCCCAGGCGCTACAGGCTTGGCCTCCACGCCCTCGGCGTGTGCCACTGCCTGCGCAGCTGCCTTGCGGGCCATCGTGGCCTCCGCCACAGCCCGAGCCGCCGCCGTCTCCTTTTCCTCAGCCACAGAAAGTTGCTTCCGAAGTCGCAGCACATGTGACACTTGTTGCGAATGACGATGCTCTGCATCCTTACACACACCTTCAGCTCGACGAAGTGCCTCTACGAGGGACGGCTTGTTCTTGGGCTTCGTCGCCTCTGCCATGAGCCTGTCCACCTGCTTGCGCAAGCAGCCGATGAGCTCCTGGTCCTCTGTCGCCTGCAGCGCCTGGTCCAGGATGGCGGTCACGTCCTTGCCTGCACCGCCCTGGCCGCCCTTGGCGCCGCTGCGGCTCTTGCCGCCGCCCCACTTGGTCCCTCGAGGGACCGCCAGCTCGTCCTCGCCGTCCGACAGGTCGAAGGTGACTCTGCTCCGTCCCGCCGGCGTCGCACGCGCCTTGAAAAGAGGCACCCGAGAGCCGCAGCCTCGGCAGATGCAACCTGCCTTGGCCAGCTCGGCGTTGTACTCACATACCCCGCAGCCTGAGCACCTGCTCCATGGGCCCCGACTCCTCGGGACAGACGATCCCCGTGCCATTGCTTCTCCCCTGCGTTGGTCGAGATCGGGCGCGATTGTTCGGAAAATGGCGCCCAAATCTAGTCACTCAAGTGCCTCGGTGCGGCACAGGGAAGGAGGCCAAAACACAATGACTTGACCCCCAATACTTGAGGGAGGAGGAGGGGGAGGAGGAGGAGAAGGAGGAGGAGGAGGAGGAGGAGGGGGAGGAGGAGGAGAAGGAGGAGGAGGAGGAGGAGGGGGAGGTGGAGGAGGAGGAGGAGGAGAAACGGGGACGAGGGGTGTGAGGTGGAGGCGGAGGAGAAGTGGGCGATGAGGACGTGGATGAGGAGGGGGACGACCGGGGGGAGGAGAACGAGGGAGGGCCTCCACCTCTCACGGCCTCCCTCTTGTCCTTCTCCTCCCTCCTCTTGTGGTGCTGTCTCCGTCTACTCCTTTTTCTCGTTCCTTGCTTCCCCTTCCATCCTGTTGCTCCCTCTCTCCCCCTCGCCATTCCACGTTTGCCTTCTCGTTCTCGTTCCTCTTCATCCTCTCATCCTTACTTTTTAATCATCTCCCCTCCCCCCATCCTCCCTCCTCCCTCCTCCCTCCTCTTTATCACGATGTTATTCGATTGTTTTCATTGCCGAGTTCGTCAGAGTGAGGGGGCCGAACCGTCATTCATTGTCCCTGGGTGCGTGGCTGAAGTGGGGATCCGTGGTGAGCATTATGCTTGTTGCGTTGTTGCTCATTGTTTGTTTGTTTGTTTGTTTGTTTGTTCGTTTGTTCGTTTGTTCGTTTGTTTGTTTGTTTGTTTGTTTGTTTGTTTGTTTGTTGTCGTCGTCCCACCCGCGACCCACCCCGCGACCCACCCGCGGCCCAACCCGCGACCCACCCGCGACCCTGCGACCCACCCACGACCAACCCGCGACCCACCCGCGACCCACCCCGCGACCGACCCGCGACCCAACAGCGACCCAGCCGCGACCCACCCGCGACCCCACAGCGACCCACCCGCGACCCACCCCGCGACCCACCCGCGACCTACCCGCGACCCACCTGCGACCCAACAGCGATCCACCCGCGACCCATTTGCGACCCACCCGCGACCTACCCACATTGGTTTAACTAAAAAATCGGCGCCTGCGGCGAGTTCGTAGTATAATTTGTGAAACGTTGGCGCCTGCGGCGGGCTTCTCCAGAGTCTCGCAAACTGCCGATGTCACCACCGCCCCCTCACTCTTATCCGCATCTGCGGGATGTTACGTACGATCCGCAGAGGTGTTCTTCTTCAACTCCTTCTTCGGGAAGACAGCAGACGCCGATCTGGAGGCCGCCGCGCTCATCGCCAAGCATTACCACGAGATGCTTGCTACTAACAGCTCGTTCACGGACTGGAAGGGCCAAGAGCTGAGGTGCGGCGAGCGCATCCGCGGCGTGCACCTGACGCTCCCGTTCCACAACATCCCCTTTGCGCACCACTTCCTCAACTTCTGGGCTGGGGCCCCGGTGTGGGACAAGGACTGGCTGCGCGGGCGTGACCTGCGGAAGTAGCCCTGCACGTCTCCTCCCGCGCCCCGGACTCCTCCGCCGATCCGATGCTGGTCAAGATCCCCGTGGTCCCCGGGGTCCCGACCGCTTCCCCAGGGGGTTCTGTTTGCCACCCGGGATGCAGTCTCGATGGCCCCGGGGGCCGGAAGACGGCTCCCGAGGTCCGACACCTCAGGGCCTTGGTTGCCTCGATGCGCACGCTTTGATACGCAACACGTGCCGTGATCAAGACGTCCGTGCCAAGACGTTGCGCGTCGGCTCCACGTACGGGACCACGTTTCGGCGACTGCAGCGCGTCGGACCCACGCATTCAGGATACGTGTTGAGCTCCGTATCGATACGCTACGTGTTGCGTATCGGGGCGGCTAAGCCAAGGGCGCCACCGAGGGCGCGTAGTTATTCGCGCTTCGCGGTTCGGCCCCGGTTCCTCCTCATCCTCCTCTTCTCCCCCGGGAGAAGGCGCGAGAGCGCGAAGTCATTCGCACTTCGCGCTTCGCGCAGCGCGAAGCGCGAAGTTGGGAGTCCTTGCTAAGCTCAAGTCGGGCCTGTCCCCCTACAGGGGGATGTTCGACGAAAAATAAAACATACCCCCAAAATACCACCAGAATACACCAAAAATAGTCCACACATAGTCTGGGGACTATTTTTGTTTTAGTCCTTTGGGGGTCTTTTTGCGGGTATTTTCATTCTTTCGTCGAACATCCCCCTGTAGGGGGGACAGGCCCGACGTCATGCGAAGCTCAGGGCGCGACTTACCAGCCTGTAACATATCCCTATCCCTATGCTGGGCACCTCCTTCCTCATCACGATGCCAATCTCAGGGACTCCCTTATTTTTTGAGGGCGAATCCCTAAGATTCTCATCGCCTTTTGGCGTGTCAATCTTAGGGATAGGGATACGTTCGAGGCTGGTAAACAACGCCGCATGGCACGCCGCACGGCATCGTCGGAGCTCCGGGGCGCGCGCGATCGCTGCTCCGAGGGGCCGCCCGCGGCGGCCGCGAGCCGCGAGCCGCGCCCGCGCGCGCTCCGCTCGCGCGGGAGGCGCGCGCGAGGCCCCCCCTCTGCGGGGGGCGCGCGCAGCCGGGGCCGCGCCCCCCGGGCCTTGGCATCGCTCGGGCGTGCGCATTCTTCCTTCGGCGAAGGGCATCGAGGGGCATCCTTGCTCATGTGGCGAAGCAAGCCACGCGCTCGAAAAGTGTGCATGTTTCCCTCGGCGAAGGGCATCGAGGAGCATCCTTGCTCATGTGGCGAAGCAAGCCACGCGCGAAAGCAAGCAAAAAGAAGCACAGGGAAGGGACGTCCGAGCGGCGGCCAGTGGGCCGCCTCGCGGGCGGGGCCCCCGCCACGGCGAGGAGCAGGCCGCGCACCGCCCACGGAGCGTCCGCGGGCCCCTCCCCCGCTTGTGGTGTGCTCTCTTCTGTGTGTTTTTTAGTGTGTGCGTGGATGCCAGAGATCCAACGTTTCGGAACATGCCAGTTCCTCCTCCTCCTTCCTCCTCTCCTCTCCTCCTACTCCTCCTCCTCATCCTCCTCCTCTTCTCCTCCCACTCCTCAATCCTCCTCCTCACACTCCCCCTCCTCTTCTCCTCCTCCTCATCCTCCTCCTCCCTCCTCCGCATCCTCCTCCTCCCGTCTCCTCCTCCTCCTCCTCCTCCTGTGTGTGTGTGTGTGTGTGGCGGAGGTGTTTCGCTCTTTTCGGCCTCTGGGGGCCCTCGCCGGGCCTCGGGGCCGTCAGAAAGCGACTCTGGATGAAGGGCCGGTCCCGGGGAACGGTGGGTCGAGGCTTCGGGGGACCCCGTATTGAAAAAGTCACGACATCGGATCTGTGTGTGTGCGTGTCTGTGCGTGTGTGTGTGTGTGTGTGTGTGTGTGTGTGCGTGTGTGTGTGTGTGTGTGTGTGTGTGGCACGGGTGCCGTTCGCGGGATGTCTGACCCCGCGTGTGTATCGGCGGCGAGCGAGGGGGGGAAATGAGGATGAGGAGGCCTCCTCAGAAGGCGGCGGGGCTTCTCAGAAGCCCTCGCGCCTTCGGAGAGGTTTTCGGTGTCTTCGGGGAAGGCTTCGAAAGTTCGAAAGCTTCTCCGGAGGCCGCGGGACTCCTGAGCCTTCCGAGAAGGCGCGCCCCTTCTCCCTTCCCCCCTGGGCTCGCCGCCGAGTGCAGGACGAGTGCCTACCGTGCGGCGGGCTGTGATGGTTGGAAGCTCCGCCGTGCTCCCATCTCCTTCCTCCCTCCCCCGCCCCACAAGAGAGACGTCGCCTCCGCCAGGCCCCGACCTTCAGAGGGGCAGAGGGCACCGGTGCGCCGATGCCCTCTCCTCTGGAGAGGGCGCCAACAAAGAACACCACCGCCGGCCCTGGCCAGGGGCATCCTGGGCCCTGGCGTGGTGTACAGACATCCGCGCCTGTATGCCAGGAGGGCCTGCAAACCAGTCCGGGGCCCAGGAGGGGCCTGGCCAGGGCCAGCGGTGGTGTGTGTATTGCTTGGAGATCTCCTACTTTCAGGAGGGAAAGAAACACACAGACACAATTAATCGTCGACTCCCAGGAAAGTATACAAAAATATGGGAAGTGGGGGGGAAGACAAAAACCAAAAAATTAGCCTGGCGAAGGACCCAACCATATGCAGTTGTGAATGCCGCAATTGTGCTGGGTGGTGGCGGACGCATGCGGGCGGTGCCACTGGGACCTTCGGTGGAGCTCCCTATGGTGCCACGAAACGCTGTACTGGGTGGGTGAGACGCGGTCAGCAAGGGCTGTGCTTGCTTTGTCCCCCCCCCCCGCCCCCATTATTCTTCCCCCCCGGCCCCCCCCTCTCAGCCCCCTTAGCCCTCTGTGTGACCCCCTTCGTTACTTCTCCCTTCCCCTACCCCCCCCATTTGGGCCAACTGCACCCGCTATCAAGCAGCTCCCCCCCCCCGCCCGCCTATTTAGTAAAGAGGCAGGGAGCAGGGTGTGCTGGGTTTTTGGGCGGACGGCCTGCGGGCGGTGCCGCTGGGACCTTTGGTGGAGCTCCCTATAGGGCTACGAAGCGCTGTTCTGGGTGGGTGAAGCGCAGGGAACAAGGGCTGTGCTGGGTGGTGGCGGACGCAAGCGGGCAGTGCCACTGGGACCTTTGGTGGAGCCCCCCTATGGGGCCACGAAACGTACGAGGGGTGTGCCAGAATGGGGTGTGGAACCGCATGCCAGCGCAGCCACTGGGGCCTTCGGTGGAGCTCCCTATGGAGCCACGAAACGTGTGAGGGGTGTGCCGAAATGGGGGGCGGAACCGCATGCGAGCGCAGCCACTGCGGCGTTCGGTGGAGCTCCTTCTGGGCCACGAGACGTGTGAAGGGCGTGCCGAAAAAGGGGGTGGAACCGCATGCGAGCGCAGCCACTGGGGCCTTCGGTGGAGCTCTCTATGGGGCCACGAACCGTGTGAGGGGTGTGCCGAAATGGGGGGGGGAACCACATGCGAGCGCAGCCACTGGGGCGTTCGGTGGAGCTCCCCATGGAGCCACCCACGAAGCGTGTGAGGGGGTCTCATTTCTGTGTGCCGCGGAATTTAAATGGGGGGGTGGAACCGATGCTGAGCGAAGCCACTGGAGCGTTCGGCGGAGCTCCCTATGGAGCCACGAAACGTGTGAGGGGTGTGCCGAAATGGGTGTGGGTGACGCATGCGGGCGCGGGCACTGGGGCCTTCGGTGGAGCTCCCTATGGAGCCACGAAACGTGTGAGGGTGTGTGCCGAAATGGGTGTGGGTGACGCATGCGGGCGCGGGCACTGGGGCCTTCGGTGGAGCTCCCTATGGAGCCACGAAACGTGTGAGGGGTGTGCCGAAATGGGTGTGGGTGACGCATGCGGGCGCGGGCACTGGGGCCTTCGGTGGAGTCCCTTTGGAGCACCGTAAGCGTAAACAGGTTGTCAACAAAAGACCGTCGAAAAGGACCGCTAGCGAGGCAGCCAAGAAGGCCTTCGGTGGAGCTTTCCCTTTATGGGCCACGATACCGTGTGAGGGGTCTTTTTGTATGATTTTTCTTGTGCTGAATGGTTGGGGGTGGAAGGCGCCATGCGACGCGCAGCCCAGCCACTGGGGCCTTCGGTGGAGCTCCCTATGGGGCCACGAAACGTGTGAGGGGTGTGCCAGAATGGGGGGTGGAACCGCATGCGGGCGCAGCCACTGGGGCCTTCGGTGGAGCTCCCTATGGGGCCACGAAACGTGTGAGGGGTGTGCCAGAATGGGGGTGGAACCGCATGCGGGCGCAGCCACTGGGGCCTTCGGTGGAGCTCCCTATGGGGCCACGAAACGTGTGAGGGGTGTGCCAGAATGGGGGGTGGAACCGCATGCGGGCGCAGCCACTGGGGCCTTCGGTGGAGCTCCCTATGGGGCCACGAAACGTGTGAGGGGTGTGCCAGAATGGGGGGTGGAACCGCATGCGGGCGCAGCCACTGGGGCCTTCGGTGGAGCTCCCTATGGGGCCACGAAACGTGTGAGGGGTGTGCCAGAATGGGGGGTGGAACCGCATGCGAGCGCAGCCACTGGGGCCTTCGGTGGAGCTCCTTATGGGGCCACGAAACGTGTGAGGGGTGTGCCAGAATGGGTGTGGGAGGGGGAGGAGGGGGGAGGAGGGAGGGAGGAAGGAGGCGGGAACGCGGGGCACCGTCTCTTCAAAACGAGGACCCAACACCACAGGATGTTTGGGAAATATGGGAAAATATGGTGAATAGTTTCATTTGGTGTATTGTTTGGAGCGCTCCTGCTCTCTTCCTCTGTCAGGACGCGTGGCCTCAGACAGTGAAGGCTCGGCTTGGGAGCCCGCTCCCAGTCCCTCGGGGGCCCAGTCTCTCGGGACCCTTTTGTGCCGCCGGCTCTTCAGCCTGCTGGCGCAGGGCCACCACACCGAGCTCAGGGATCGACCTGAACGGTGTTTGGGCGATGCCGCGGGCCGTTTTCTCGTGTGGACCTCGTCTTGCGGCCAGGGCGGACTGTCAGGCGAGGCGCGGCACAAGCGAAGCCAAAACGCACACGAGAAAGCTCAACGAGAACGAGGCAACGAAACTCTTTACGCTTCGCGTATCCCCACCAGCCCATCTCAAAACAGCAACTCTTGCGAAGCATGCCGACAGTCGTGTTTGTCAGGCGTGTTTCCGCCTGCCCCCGCATATCTCCCCTGTTCCTCCTTCCTCCCGCCTTCTTGTACATCCTCCTTGTGGTGGGAGCGGGAGAAGGACGAGGCGGAGGAGGAGGGAGAGAAAGCTCAACGAGAACGAGGCAACGAAACTCATCCCTGTCCTCGCCTCTTTGGGGGGGAGGCCTCCCGGGAGGCCCTCGGCGCCGCGGCGGGGCTCGCGCCTCGAGGTCCCTGGCCGGAGGGCGCAGCCCGCGGCGAGAGGCCCGGGGAGCAGCCGCGCCGGGCTGCGGCGGCCTCGCTCTTCCCCGTGCAGGCCTCCTCCTCCTCCCCCTCCTCCTCCTCCTCCTCCTCCTCCTCCTCCTCCTCCTATTCCTCCTCCTCCTCCTCCTAAGTATTCCTCCTCCTCCTATTCCTCCTCCCTCCTCCTCCCCTCCTCCCCGCCTCCTCCTCCCTATTCCTCCTCCTATTCCTCCTCCTCCTCCTCCTCCTCCTCCCTCCTCCTCCTCCTCCTCCTCCTCCTCTCCTCCTCCTCCTCCTCCTCCTCCTCCCTCCTCCGCCTCCTCCTCCTCCTATTCCTCCCCCCAGGCGGACGGCGCCCGGCGGGGCCCGCCTTCCGCCCGGGCCTGACACGCTGAGGGCGATGCAGACTTCGTCGGGGGCGGAAAAGAGGGGGGTGATGACTAGGAGGGGGGTGGATATCATGGCGTGGGCCATGGTATTTCCCCAGACTTCATGGCGCCTCTTCTGATTTCCTTACGTCCCTGCCCCCCCCCCCCCCCCCCCCCGCTGGGTCGCGCACATGCCGCCGGTCATGATTTGCACCCCCCCCTCTCTTGGACACCCCCCTCTTTGCCGCCCCCGACTTCGGTCTCGTGGGTGGGGTGGGTTCGTGGCCAAACCGATGGCAGGAGCGCGTGGCTTTCGTGCTTTCTTGTGCAGCTCGCCACGCCCCTGTTGCTCGATGCGCTCGCGATTTCGGAGTGGAGTCCAGGAAAGTGTGGCTCGCGATTTCCTGCAATATGTTCTGCGCGATTCCGGCGCCGCCAAAAGCCAGATCCCCAACATCGCCGTTACTCAACATCGCCGTTAGCGTGGCCTTGGCAGGGAAGGCTGAGTCCATACGGATTAAGTCCATACAGTGCATACAGAGTGCTCGGTCTCCGTCTGGGC